CAATCCTATGACTTTTTTTTCTTGTCTCTTGTTTTCTTTGATTATCTTTTAAAAAAATACTTTAAAGAGAGTATAGCAATAATTGGTATGATGTTAGAAGCAGTATGCATTCAGATGACCGAAATGACAGATGTTTCAAGTGTGGTTTTAGTATTATACATTGCTATCCTCAGTGTAGTTGCTTAGTTTACAGATATCAGCATATAGTTAGTCAGGGTGATAATTCTATCCATTAACTGTTATTTTAAAAAAACCTGATGGAGACTCTTAGGACCACTGTGTTAACTATCTTGTTTAAATAAATGTATGGTTTTGCCCCTTCCATGTTTCCTAACTTTTCTCCTTTCTCTCTCTCTTTGTGGTTTAAACCAGAAGTTCTCGCTTCCCATTTAACTGTGTTATACTTTTCAACTTTTATTTCTTCTTTTGAGTTCTTACACTAGTGAGACAATATGATATTTACATATGTGGGTCTGATTTATTTCACTGATGAGTATATATTCAAGTTGCATCCACTTATATATGAAGCCTTTGAGTTTATTTTTCTTTATAGCTGAGTAATACTCCATTGTATAAAAACACTACATCTTTTTCATCCATTCCTGAGGTGATGAGCATTTTGGTTGTTTCTAAGATTTGGCTATCACAAATTGTGCTGTTATAAACAGGCACACATATATCACTATGATATGATGTTTTCAGTTATTTTGGGAAAGTTCTTAGAAGGGGGATAGTTGGATTGAATGGGATTTTCAGTCCTACTTTTTTGAGGAATCTCCACACTGATTTCCATAATAGTTGCACCCGGCTACATTCCCACCAGCAGGGAAGAAGGGTTCCTATTTCCGGGCAGCCTCTTCAACATTTGTTGTTGGTTGATTTCTCTATGGTAGTCATTCTTTCTGAGGTGAGATGGTATCTCAGTGTTGTTTTAAATTGCATTTCACAAATGGCTAGTGATGTGGAGCATTTTTTCATGTATTTATTTGCTGCTTGTATTTCTTCCTCTGAAGAATGTGTTCATCTCAGATGCCCATTTTTGGATTGGGTTCTTTAAATTTTGGGGACCTAATGTTTTTTAGTTCTTTATAAATTCTAGGTAGAAGACCTTTGTTTGAGTGTTATTAGTTAAGATTTTTTCCAAATTTATGGGTTGTCTTTTCACTCTGTTGGTAATTTCTTTTGATGTGCAAAAACTTCTCAATAAGAGAAGGTCCCAGTTGTTCATTCTTTCAAATATTTCCTGTGCAATTTGACTTTTGTTCATGAACTCTTTGCCTATCCCTAGGTCTTCAAGATTGCCACCTACTTTCTCTTCCAGGTTTAGTGTTTCTCTTTTAATGTTTAGATCTTTAATCCATTTTGACTTTAGTTTAGTGCATGGTGATAGACCTGGGTCAAGTTTCAGTTTTTGGCATGTAGAGAGCCAATTTTTCCAGTACCATTTGTTAAAGAGGTTATCTTTCTTTCAGTAAGCATGTTTGGCCCCTTTGACGAAGATAAGATGGCTGAGTGTGTGTGTAGTTGCATCTGCCTCTTCTAATCAATTCCATTGATTCTCAGGTCTATTTTTTTTTTTTTTTGCCAGTACCATGCTGATTTTATCACAGTAGCTTTGTGGTATAATTTCAAGCCAAGAATTGTAATGCCTCCTGACTTGCCTTTGTTGTGCAGGATTGCCTTTGATATTCTAGGTTTTCTCTGGTTCCAAATAAATTTTAGGAATGATTTCTCTAGGTCTGTGAGGTATGCTGGTGCTTTTGATATGGATTGCATTAAATCTGTATAACAATTTTGGGAGTATGGCCATCTTCACAATGTTTGTTCTTCCTATCCAGGAGAAGGGAATACCTTTCCATTTTCTGAAATCCTCTACTATCTCTTTTTCCAGAATACTGCAATTTTCATTAAATAGATCTTTAACTTCTTAAGGTAGATTAATTCCTACATATTTCATTTTCTGTGGTATTATTGTAAAAGGTATTATTTATCTAATTTCCCTCTCAGTGTGTTCATTATCTGTGTAGAAGAATGCTATTGAGTTTTGGGTACTGACTTTGTATCCTGGTATGCTATCGAATTTGTGTATCAATTCTCGTAGCTTCTTGGTGGTTTTTTGAGTCTTCCAGGTAGAGTATCATGTCATCTGCAAATAATGATAGTTCAACTTCTTGTTCACCTATTTTTGTTCCTTTTATTTCTCTCTCTTGTCTAGTGGCTCTAGCTAATGATTCCAGAACTATATTGAATAGGAGTGGTGAGAGAGGATATCCTTGTCTTATACCTGATTTGAGGGTAAAAGATTTCAGTTTTTTCCCCATTTAGAATTATGTTAGCTGTGGGACTATCATAGAAGACTTTTATCAGATTGAGGTAGAAACCATCTATTCCAATTTTCTGTAGGACTTTGAACATGAATGAGAGTTGGACTTTGTCAAAAGCCTTTTCTGCATCAATTGAGATGATCAAGTGGTTTTTGGATTTGGCTCCATTGATATAGTGTATCACATTTATAGATTTGAGTCTGTTGATCCATCCTTGCCTCCCTGGGATGAATCTTACCTGGTCATGGTGTATAATCTTCATGATTTGTTGTATTCTATTTGATGGGATTTTATTTATTTATTTATTTATTTATTTATTTATTTATTTTTGCTGGAACCAGGGATTGAACTCAGACCCTTACGCTTGCCAGGGAAGTGCTTATTCCACTGAGCCTTCTCCCCGTCCCCACCCTTGATGAGATTTTATTGAGGATTTTTGCATCTATGTTCATGAGGGAGATTGGCCTGTAGTTCTCTTTTTTAGTTGTGTCTTTCTCTGGTTTTGGTATCAGTATAATACTTGCCTCCAGGAATGATTTTGAGAGAATTGTTTCCTTTTCAATTTCATTGAAGAGTTTGAGGAGTATTGGGATTATATCTTATGTAAATTTCTTGTAGAATTCATCTGTGAATCCATCAGGACCTGAAATTTTCTTTGTTGGTAGGTTTTTATTGCATTTTGAATTTCATTGGCTGTTATTGGGTTATTGAGAGTTCTTATAGCTTCTTGATTCAGTTTTGGTAATTTGTACTTTTCTAGGAATCTGTCCATTGTTTCTGTGTAAGTAGAGATTCTCAAAACAGCTATTGATGACCTTCTGAATTTCCATAGGGTCTGTGGTAATTTCACCTTTTTCATTCCTTATTGTTTGAATTTGAATTTTTTCTTTCTTCTTTTTGATGAGGTTAGCTAGGGGCTTAACAATTTTATTTAATCTTTGAAAGAACCAGCTTTTTGATTTGTTAATTCTTTGTATTGTTTTCTTTGTCTCAATTGTATTAATTTCTGCTCTAATCTTCATAATTTTCTCCCTTCTTTGGGCTTTAGATTTTGTTTTCTCTTCTTTTTCTAGACCTTTGAGGTATAGTATTAGGGTATTTATTTGTTCCTGTTCTGTTTTCCTGATGTGTGAGCTCACAGCTATAAATTTTCCTCTAAGAGCTGCTTTCATTGCATTTCATAAATTCCTATAAGTTGAGCTTAAATTTTCATTGAATTGTAGATATTGTTTAATTTCTTGTTTGGTGTCACCTATAATCCATTGGTTGCTGAGGAAGGTATTACTTAATTCCCATGTATTTATGGGGTTTTTGTGGTTTCTTTTATCATTTATTTCCAGTTTCATTGCACTGTGGTCAGACAATATGCACACGATAATTTCTGTTTTCTTGCATATAGTGAAGCATGATCTATGGACTAGTATATGTTCTATTTTAGAAAATGTCCCATGTGCAGCTGAAAAAAATGTGTATTTGGCTGTGGTTGGGTGGAACACTCTGTATATGTCCACTAAGTCTACTTGTTCCAAGTTCTGATTCAGTTCTGCTACTTCTTTGCTAATTTTTTGTCTGGTTGACCTATCTTTTTGGGATAAGGGGGTGTTAAGGTCTCCTATTAAGATTGTGGTATTGGATATTAGATTTTGGATGTCCATTAAGATTCGTTGATCTTTAGTGATTCAACCTTCTAATTCTTGCCAGAGTTACATATTAGCTTAAGAAAATATTTGCCAATTTCATAGGTTAAAAATGTATTGTAATTTGTATTTTTTATTAGTACTGAGTTGATCTTTTCAAAATGTAGTTGTTGGCATTAGTTTTGAGGTACTGGAATGAAATAAAAGGGAAATAGGTTTTTTTAGTTCCAACTTTTAGAGCATCAAAATCCAAGATGAAGGTGTTAGGAGACAGAAATTCACCTGCTCACCACTAGGACAACCCTTGGAGGCGATGGGAAGAAAATCAGGTTTTCTCAGAGCTCAGCACTCTGCAAAGATGGAGGGACTTTTTGACTTCTGAAAAGAGCTAGAGAACTCAGGTAAGTGAAGGTGTTTTTTATAAGTAGAAGAAGTGCAAGGGGCAACAGGCAGGAAGATTATAGTTTGGGTGAGGTTTTGCTCACCCAACTCGTGAGTCTATGTTTTTCCCCCCTCTGGCTCAAGTGTTACAATCAACTTTGACTTCCCAAGCCTAATTTCTGTGCTTCTTTTGATAAACATTATTTGTCTGCAGGTTAAACCTCGCAGTAAGGTACAAGCTTTGCGTTAGTTGTTGCATAGGACTAAAGAATAATGAGCTAAGTTTAGGTGGTTCACATTTTGTTGTTATCTGAAGGTCACCAGCTATTCTGGGTTCTGAGAATCTAAGGAAAGATTCATTAGCAGTTAACATCTTAATCACTTACATGTGGCTTTCTTTAGAATTCACAATTCTTGGCAAAGGGGAGGGGAGTGAAAGTACCCCTGCCAAGCAAGATGCAGGAAGGGGCAGCCCGTGTCGCTGTTACAAGGAGATCTGCTGGTTTGGCTTCTGGGAAGGGAGGAGCATAGTCACATCTAAAAGAAGACAAAGAGAGAAGCACGGCAGGGCCAAGCTTGCTCCTTTTATAATCATCCTCATGTGCATCAGCGATGCACAAGAAACATCAAGGGGCTCTTTCAGGTCCTCCTTTCCAAGATGACCACAAAAAGAAGGCACAACGGCCGTGCCAAAAAAGGCAGTGGTCATGTGCAGCTTCTTCCCTGCACGCATTGCGCCCGGTTTGTACCCAAGAATAAGGCTATTAAGAAGTTTGTCACTCGGAACATAGTGGAGGCCGCCACCATCAGGGACATTTCTGAAGTGAGTGTTTTTGACCGTTATGTGCTTCCCAAGCTGTATGTGAAGCTGCATTACTGTGTGAGTTGTACCAGTCACAGCAAAGTGGTCAGAAGTCGATCTCGTGAAGCCTGCAAGGACCGAACTCTTCCACCCCAACTTAGACCTGCTGGTGCTGCCCCACGACCTCCACCAAAGCCCATGTAAGGAGAGCTGAGTCTTAATGGACTGAAGAAAACTCTCTTGAGAAAGAAATAATAAATTGAATGTTATACTTAAAAAAAAAAAAAAGAAAAAAACATCAAGGGATCCCACAGGAATATTTCACCCCAAGTGACCTAAGGATTCCTGCTATGTCTTGTCCCAAAGATCCCACTGAGGCAAGAGATTAGGATGTGGCCAGCCATGTGGGCAGGTGGGCGTGATGGATCCATGTGGAGATCCAGGACACATGTGCAGAAAAAGTTCCCCAGCCCTGCACCTGGGACCAGTCAGAAAATGTTATCTTGTGATGTGAGACCAACCAGGTTTTTGATAGGATGATCTCAATCTGACATCAGCTGAGGAGTGGGAGATGCAAAGGGTGGCAGCCATTGACCTTGGGCTATGTACAGTTCTCTTTCTTGGTGGCCTGTTCTCACTGTGCAGAGCATAACTTTTTGCTTTTCTATCATAAATGTAAAACTTTGCTACCTTTTTTTGCTTGTCTTGCCCAATTCTTTGTTCAATACAAAAGAAATCCTGGCTAGAATCCCTGGGATGTGTCCACAACACTTAGAACATTCATAATACCATCAGCTCCTGATGCTGCAACAGACACAGCGGGTCTTGGAGGGCACCTGACCTGCACCTGAACCACCATGTCTTGGTTACTGTTCTTGACACACTACCCAACACCAAAGGTAAAGGAGGAAAGGTGTATTTTGGTTCATAGTTTATAGAAGTTTCAACTCATGGTTGGCTGGTTCTCAGGGAGGGTGGCATGGCAGGAGGACATTGCAGAGAAGGCAGATGGAAGACAGCAAGTGATACACCACAAGCGAAGAGTGACAAGCAATGAACGATGCAGCCCTTCATATTTTATGCATCCTTAATTTTATCCTTAATTTTAGCACTGTACCATGAATCAGTCTCTGTGTTATGAATATTAGTTCTTTGGCTTTGTAATGAAGGTTTATTAAGATTAGGATGATTTTGGTCTATAGTTGAACTATTGTATTTATTTGTTTATTTTCATATATTTGGTACAGGGTCTCACTATGCAGCTCAGACTCATAGTGATCCTCCTGTTTTCAGTCTCCCCAGAACTGGGATTACAGGCAAGCACCACCATGTTCAATCTTAGTGGCTGCCTCAGCCTACTCGGGAGGCAGGGCTGGCATGGCCTGTGGTGCTGGGGATCAAACCCCAGTCTCTGTGCTTGCCTAAGCAGGTGCTTAGTCTGCTGAGCTATCTTGCTGGCCCTATACTTGGACTATTCTAAAGTCCAATTAATTTTTTTTGTGTGGTTGTGTTTTCATCACATTTAATCTTAGAGAGTCCTTTTTCATCAGATATCAGTTACATATTTACTTATAGACTATTTTGACTATTTCTGATTTTATTTTTAATGTTTGAATGATCCATTTTTGTAATTTTGAAAAACTTAAATACAGAGAATTTCAGAGCATAATTGAACAATTGCCAATGTATTTCTGTCACCGAAATCTCATGTCATCTTGTCATTTTGTCTTCTGAATTCTAAAATATAAGAAATAAAGTACTGCTAAAATTCCTACTGTACTTTCTCAGTCCTAATTTTCTCTTTTCCTGCTAAGAAAATCCCCATCAAGAAATACATGGATACCTTCTGGGCCCATGTTCTTATGTTTTTATTACAGTTTATGTCCCTCAAAGCTGTACATATTATTATTTGTGTATTTTCAAGCAGAAATAAGGAAATCTCATAATGTATATTCTCTATGACATTCCTACTTAAAAAAAAAATGCCACCCTCTACTTTTGAGGCTCACACAGCTGGTTGCCGAGACCCACGTGTATTAAAGTTATCTGGGTGCAGTGGTCCAGTGAGTCACCACAGCCAATGTTTCTGTGTCTTCTATTGTCGCACCCGGGCGTCATGTCCTGTGGTCCTTCCCCTCCATCCTTCCCTGCACACTTCTAGGTCCCTGTAATGTGAGTGCAGCAGGGCAAGTCTCAGTGTGGTCTCTGCGCTGGATCCTAGGAGGCAAGAGGATTAGGGGGAGGTGGGGCTGCTCCGGCTTGACACTGGGGGCAGAGACAGGAAGGAAACAGGACAGGCTGAGGGGAAGACTGGACCGTTTGGCAGCCCTCCCATCCACCCCAGGGGCCCATGCAGCTGCCCTGAAGGATGGGGCCTTGGTAGCTGACAGGCACCTGCCAGGGCCCAGTCTGCCAGGGGCTGTGTCATTGTCTCCTTCCCAAGGTACTGGCCTCTGGCAGTGTGACGGCTCAGTGCCCCAGGCGTGGAGGAGGGAGCCGGTAGGCACACAGCAGCATCAAGCTGCCTTGCTGCTTTGCTGCCTGGAGAATCAGGTGCTTCCTGCAATTGTTCAGAGCCTGAGAGCCTCAGGGAAAGCTATGCCTTGGGCTGTCTCTCCTCTGACCCTACTAGCCAGGCCCCAGAATCTTTCGAGGGTCTGCTGCCTTCGTGTGCAATACAGGAGTGCCTTCTCCTCGTTCGATAGCCGGGCACGGCAGCCTGATCTGGTCCTACTGCACCTGGTCTTGCAAAAGCAACAACAAAAAATTAAGCAGAGTGTGGTGGCGCATGCCTCTAATCCCAGCTGAGGATTGGGAGGCTGAGGCAGGAGGATTGCTGAGAGTTCAAGGCCAGCCTGTGCTATATAGTGAGCTCAAGGCTAGTCTGAACTATACAACAGGGCCCTGGGAAAAGAGGAAAAGAAAACTTTGAAGTTATTGGCATATAGATTATTATTTTTTTATTTTTGCGGTACCAGGGATTGAACTCAGGACTCTGCGTTTGCCAGGCAAGCACTTATTCTACTGAGCTATCTCCCTGGCCCTGGCATATAGATTAATTGACTCCTCTGTTCACTTATTAGTGTTCATTGAGTTCCTACTGTTGCAGGCAGCCTGAGTTAGATAGAAATATTGTAGGTAGTTAGACAGGGACAGGCCCTCGAAGGGGACGACAAAGACCAGATGCCTTACTGGGGAGATGCTCCTGTGTGAGCCAGACCTAAAGATCAAACAAATGTTGACCTCCCTAAAGTTGGCATCCAGGATTGCTCATTAGTCGGGAAGAACCATTGACTGAAGGCCACCAGATAAGGTCGCCCGCTTGCTACGTGACTCGCTACCCCATTTGGTCCTGGGCCTAATAAATTTTATCTGAGCAATGGTGCTTGTAATCCCATTGGTTGACCATAGTTTTGTCCCACCCTGTATCTGCCTAAGCGGGACCCCCTTGTCTCTACCTTAGCCCTGCATGGTTTGGGCCTATAAAAATAACCTGAAGGAGACAGCTTCCTGGGCAACCCGCTCGGGACCCCCTTCTGTCCCTCTCCGACAGAAGCTTTCCCTTCCAATAATGTTTTACCTTCAGCCTCCGTTTGTTCCTAAAATTCATTCTTCGGTTTTAGAGAACATGAACTCATTCAGGCCAGGTTGGGAATTTCACGTCCCTATATCACTACTATGTACACGAGCCATGGTACACAAGCTATGGTAAGACAGAGCTTACATTCTAGAGGGGAAGCGGACAGAAACATAGCAGTGATATGTGGGGCTGTGTTAAGTGGGAAAATATCAAATCAGGTGAAGGAGTTAGAGAACTGGGAGGCAGGGGTCAGCATTTTAAATAGAGACTTTGGAAAGCCTTTCTGACATGGTGTGTGTGTGTGTGTGTGTGTGTGTGTGTGTGTGTGTGTGTGTGACCAGCTCAGCCCATCCTGGGGCTGGGGCTGGGGCTGGTGTGGCATGTGGTGCCAGGGATTGAACCATAGTCCCTGTGCTTGCCTAGGCTTGCCTAAGCGGGCACTTTAGACCACTGAGCTATCTTGCCAGCCCCAACATGTGATATTTGACTTTCAGCCAGAAGAAAATGAAGGGCTGAAAAGCCTAAGTGTCTAGGAGAAGAGGACTCCAGGCAGCACAGGCAAAGGTCCTGAGTCAGGAGAGCACTTGGAATATTCCGGAACAGTGGGAAATGCCTCTGTGCTTTGAGCAGAGTAGGGAGCAGCTGTAGCAGGGTGGATCAGAGGGACTCCTAGGCCAATGGAAGGACTTTGGTCTTTTACCTTTGGTTGCATAGGAGTCATTGCTGTCTGTCAAGATGGTGGCATAGTCTGATGTTGGTTTGAAATGTAGCATTCTGGCAGCTGTGTGAAGGTCAGAAAGTTGAGTAAACAGAGGCAGGGACTACAGAAGCCTGAAAATGTGACTGAGGCTGCCTGTAGGAGGACGGGGGCTTTGCCTGTGCACAGGGCCCTGGGCCTGACCCTTCCACAGGGAGTGAGTGTGGTAGTGGAGAGGTCAGGACTGACCCAGTGGTGGGAGAGGGTGGGTAGGAGGAATGGCGAGGCTGGCAGGAGGAAACTCCTGGGGGACCACGCACAGACACGTCCCGCAGAGCTCACCCTGCAGCCTGGCTGCTGCTCCTGTGCTGCTCCCTAGCAAGGTTGTGGCCTTTTCAAGTGGATTTGGGAAGAAAGAAATACAAGTGTAGATCTAGATCTTGACTGCCATGGGTTAGAGTCAAAGTGAATTGCTTACTTTGGAGACTAGCTCATTGTGTGTGGCTGTCTCTCTTCTCTATCCAAAGCCTCCCAAGTCCCATTTCCTAGAGGAGGACGTCAAAGCCTTTCTTTCACCCCCTGGCGCCGCCTTTCCACCTGTGACCCTGCAGCTGGACATCTCTTCACCTTGCCATTTGCATTTCCTTTAGCCATGTGGGCTTGCTGTGGGTTCTTTTCTCCCACAGTGAGCTGCTTCTGCCTGGGATCTTCGATGGCCTTGCCATCATGGCCTTATGGTTTAGGCCCAGATTCCCCCACTCAGTGGATTTTCATGTTATGTGAAGTGTAAAATTTTCTTTTCCTAAATATAATTTTTCCCCTTTATTAAAACACTGTCTAATCCAGTTTTCTTGGCAGAGGACCACCTGGGTTGTAGTTATTGGCAATATTATTATATACTTAAGCAAAGGGAAAAGAAATCAGAGCTATTTAGCAAGGGCCAAAGCCAGACAGTCCCGGGGGTTCCCTCTGGTTTCTGATTTTCCAAATTGCAGTTGAAACTGTTGTCCTGGATACAGAGGTATGAAGCAGGGCTTCTGAGAAGGGAGCTGGGCTTGCAGAGCTGTCCGCCGGCTTCTGCTGTGCTGGAAGAGTCAGGCACATGCTGGCTCTTCCCAGTTTGCCCCTGCAGGATGCGGGGAGCTGGTCTATCTTCTGGGGAAACACCAGCAACCATCAATGACCATCAGCCTGGGGCCAGTCGGCCTCCCATCAGATCGCACACACTCTGATAGTGTCTTTCCAGGAAGAAAAGTGCCCAAGGCACAGTTCATCCTGGCTGTGCCCAGGCCAATGTGAAAAGGTGCAAAGAGGGGACAGGAGACAGGGAAACTTAGGACATCAGGGTTTGTAAGAGTGGCCAAAGGCCTGTGCAGACATATGAGAGAATATGTTTGTGTGAAGCGAGGCCCTGTTTTCATAGCCTTTTGGTGCATTTCCTTTAAGTTGCAAAGATTAGGAAATACCCAGTCCCACCAAAGACAAAAACTGCATCACTCTTGTCTTAGTGATTTTTGTCCTTGCTGAGGCAAATTACCCAACACCCAAAGTTAAAGGGGAAAAGGTTTATTTAGCTCACAGTTTATAGAGGTCTCAGTCCGCAGTCTACTGGCTCCAAGGCAGGGTGGCATGGCAGAGGGGAAACAGTTCGTGGTGGGCAGAAGGTGGCAAGCATCTTTCTGTCCTTTTTATATTGTATCCAGGCTACCAGGACGAGGGCAGTGTCAAACCAACCAGTGGACTCGTTCAGTAATCACACACCCTTAATCCCAGCATCACACACTTTAGACTCAGCCACCTCCGAACAAGCCCTACCTACAACTGCGTGAGGCTTTGAGGGACATCCAGACATAGTTACAATAGCTCAGTTCCTCAGGAAGGGATGACTCTGTGTTGAGAAACACCCTGGTGTGATGATGTAGAGGACAAACTTCAGAACACTGGCAGGGTGATGGGGGTGGGAGGATGAGCCAGATGGCTCCGCCGAGGCCCGCAGGAGAAATCTGGGCTCCCCAGGGAGAGGAGACCAGGTTTCTGAGTATTCACTGTGCTCCTTTATCTGTCTTGTTCACTGCTCAAAGAGTCCCTGACACAAAGTAGTTGCTCATTAAAATGTTTGTAGGCTCCATAACTGGGACAGAGGTGAGGAAGTAGAGGGGCAGGACTGACTGCTTTCTTATGACAGAGGACAGTGGTGGCCAACCTAGGGGACCTGTGGCATACACAGCCCTCTGTTGGCATGTGAGCTAAGTCACTGCAGCCGAGGTTGGACAGATGGCCAGCATGCATACAACAGCAAAGAGCACGTTCATTGAGCAAATGTACACAAATAGTGAACTTTTACTTTTCAATAAAAAGTGGTTTGCCTCATTAAAAGCTCTGTTATTGTGTTCTTCTTGTAAGACAAAAGATGTTCATGTATGAGCAGTGTTTTTCTAAGCTAAAACCTCAGAATTCAGGTTTAATTGCAGTGTTGGTGCTTTGTGATGACTAGGTGGCTTGGGGCTGCAGCTTGGACGCTTGTCTCTGAACGGTTTGCATCACAGGTACAGGGCCGGGGACCCCAGGCCTTTCAACCGCAATATGAGAAACAGCAGGCCCAGGTGACTGGAGTGTGTGCAGCTTTGGCACAGAGGCAGAAGCCGGGTCTGCAGGAATGAGACCCTCAGCCTGAAGTTTGTCAGAAGTCTGAGTAGGAGCTGTAGGACTTTGCCTGAATCTTTCTGCTCTGAGTTTCATCCTATTCGTTTGTTCCACAGGTGACATCCTGGCTGTGGCCTGGTTTTACTGAAGTGTAAGAGAAAGCAAAAGGACCACTGACTGAACTCCCATGAGTGCCCTCCTCTCCTATGGAGGTGAGGAGCTGGGATACTGGACAGCGAGGCCGAAACTCACTTGAGCTCATGTCTCCCCATGACCTGAGTGAGGGTGGAGCTCAGTCTGTGTGGGAAAGTGATGAGGCCAAAGGAGCAAGTCCCAATGTCCCACAGGAGCCCCTCCAGTCCTCTGGATCCCCAGCCAAGTGTCAGGCCATCAGCAGCCCCTTCTTCTTGGACCTGAGGGGGCAGATCAGAGAAACAGAAGTCTAGTTGTGGTTGAGCCGGTTTTGGCCCCTTGTGGCCTTTGGGGGAGTGGTGGTGAACGTCTAGTCTCCAGGGTGGGCCCTGGCTGCTCTCCTCCTACATGTCCCCTCCCACAGGTACCAGGTGACAGGCAGTGTGACAGATGATGTATGGCAGAGGTGGTGGCACATCACTGTTTTTTCTCTTCTTGAGCCTGGGGATTGAAGCCAGTGTCTTCATGCTGACCTGCAACCCCAGACGTTTTTATTTTTTTCAGACAGAGTCTGGCTGGGCTCTAACTTGGGATCTGCCTACCAGAGCCTCCCAAGGTGCTGGGTTTATAGTGTCCTCCACCACTTTGGCTGATGCATGTCACTTCTGTGTTCAGACTGTAAAATACCATGTCTCCTATCTGCTCAGGGCCCTGCTCTCCTTATCCCCTCTAGCAACAGCTAGCTGTCCCTTGTAAGCAGCCACCTTGGGGCCAAGGCTGTGAGCTTAGGAACTGCCTCATCCACCAGCAGCAGACAGGACAGGGGCCCTCCGCTCAGAGATATGCTGGGGACAGAGCCTCCCGCCCCCGCCGAGTCCTGAGATGACTTTCACCCCGGCACAACCTCCTGCGAAACCCTGAGTCAGAGCCTCCAGCGTGGCCACACCCAGCTCCGGACCTGGGAATGGGAGCTGACTAGCGCTGGCTATTTTAAACTGTGTAGTTTAGGGCAGTGGATTAGATAAGATGCATAGCTGACTGATAGCCATTGTTCCGGGAGAGGGAATTCGGAAAACTCCCAGCCCGAGTAGGGAAGGGTGGACCTTGTTCTCCTGGCTGTGGGGCTGGCCTGGGGTGGACTCGTGATCCAAGCTGGCCATGCACAGTGCACACAGAGGCAGAGAAGCACACAATCTGGCAAGGTTGTGGTGTGTTTCCAGGCCTTGAGCATAGACCGGAGCTGCCCATGAGGAAGTGTGGTGACGGGGGCCATGGGACCACCGGGGCCTGTGGTAGGGACACCAAGACCTCAGCGCTGAGCCAGATGTTGGCCGCACGTGGGGCCCAGGGCAGAGTGCTCTGGAGGCTGACCCTGGCCTGGCCCCGCTGATGCCTCTGTTGGTGCTTCTGCTGGTCCCCCCGTGGCATCCTAAAGGTCTCTACTCATTCGGAGATGAATCCGCCCTTTCCAGGGGAGGCAGCTGAGGCCCAGAGAGGGTACATTGCCAGCTCAAGGCCACAGAGCTAGTGAGCAGCAGGGTCAGAATTTGTTCCAGGCTCTTCCAACAGCAGAGCATTTCTATAAAATCATTCTGGAGGAGGCGCTTGCCGCCGAGGACTGTGGTTTCTAGGAATTCCTCAAAAGGAATTCCTTCTCTTCAGATCAAGATGAAGAAATCATGAGGCACCTGGGTGTGGTGATGCGCGCCTGCGATCCCAGCACTGGGGGTCGGGGTGGGGGACAGCTGAGGCAGGAGGGTCTCTTCGAGTTCAAGGCCAGCCTGGGCTACATAGTGAAATTTTGTCTCAAAACACGCAAGCAAACAAAACGATGCAGCAGACGAAGTCTATGCAATGTGAATGAGAAGCTCCTCCTGGGTTCTAGTTTCTGTCTTGCCTGAGGAAGTAATGCACATGGACTGAGGAGGGGTCCACAAGGGGTGCACATGTCTCCTGGGGCCACCTCTGCATCCTTGTGAGAACAGGTCACCTGCAGATGCCTCCAATGGGGCTCTGTGTGGGCGGCCTGGCGTTCCCGCTCCTGGTTGTTCTGTGCCTTCTCCACTAAGCTGAGTCACCAGGAAAATGCAGCAAACATCAGGGGCGGTGTGCTGATTTGTCCCTGTCCACACCCGGGTGTCATTTCCCCTTCATTGGTGAGGACAGTCACAGGGCACTGTTATAACCAGTGGGCTGGGGGAGGTGAGTTTGGGGGCGCCTGCCAAAATGGGGAATTTTGCACAGCATAGCCCCAAGTTGACTGCTAAAATCCCCAGCGCGCTCCTCCACCGGGTGCTTTCTCCTGGCCCAGGCTGCACTGAGCCAGAAGACAGGGAGCCTATTCTCACAAGAAGATGTCTTCCTCCAATTGCTCTCTGCAATTTGTGCACAGCTCCAGACCGCGGTGGGCAGCACCCTCATCCAGGTACTCAGGGAGCAGCACGCGCTGGCTTCCAGGGCCAGCCCCATGTTCCTGCAGGTGCTGCCTCAGTGGCCTGGTCACTTCTTCCCACCCCTGCCACAGGAGGGAGAGCAGGGGACTCAGGATGACAGCTGTGTGCCACCATGCCTGGCCATGTGTTACTTCTCTGGTAGACATACATAAAATAAAGCAGACCACCGTCACTTAGGAAACCAAATGTGCTAGGAGGAAGTAAGCTGTCACCAAAGCTGGCAGACTGTGCACGGGCTGATGACTTACTTCCGGGGAGAGAGGAGACCATTGTCCACTGGGCCCCAGGCACTCTGCTGGCCTTCACAGTGATGAGAGGGAAGAGGCTGGTGGCTTCAGTGTCTCCAGGGTGGTGAGGGCGAGGCTGAGCTCAAACAACTGACTTTCCTGTCCTTCCTATCCCTGCTGCAAGGAGCTTGGGACAAGTTGCCCTGGTGTCCCCCCTGCTGTGCAGCAGCCACTCTGCTTGAGATGGCTGAGAGGTGAGTGCAGCATGGCTGTTGGCACGGGCTCCGTGACTGCCCCCGTTCTGGTCATTTCCTTGATGTGGCCACTGCAGGAAGGAGAATCATGGGGTGGGTGTCAGATCAAGGAGGAGGAACATGGCCAGAGGGTAGCAGCCCCTGCCTCCTCCAACCCCAACTGGCTGTGGCTGTGGCTAGCCTTCCCTGATGTCAGCCCAGCCATTTTCCTGACTTGAGACAGCTGTGAATCAAGCATGTCAGGTCCGCTCACTGAACTGGGGCCCTGAGAGCTGGGGTGTAGCACCCCCCCTCATGTTTGGAACAACCAGGCCTGCAGCTGCCCACACGCTGGGGAGGGGGAGTTGTCTAGGAGGGCTTCCTTCAAGCAGCGATCCCTCTGTGCTACACGTGGCCCTGTTGAACAATAGTGTACGACCATCACTATTCTTGATAATCACAAAAGAAAGAACAATAAACACTAGGGACTGTTAGCCCTCAAGACCTTCAGAGACCAGCAGCTAATGAAGATCAGCAGCATAGTCCAGCACCCAGCAAAGTGGACCTACAGTGTCTGGTATAAGGAACAAGTTGGACAGCAGAAGCCAGCAGGGGCAGTGACAAGCAGCTGCTGTGCCAATTGTGGGCATCCAGCATTGTCCTGGGTCGTCTGGTAACACCAGGATGGCCAGCAGCAGAGCTGCACTTAGGGATTCTTGATTTCATGATTCTTGATTTTTATCTGAATAGAGCAAAAGAACCCCTCTGATTGCCATGAGGTGGAGGGGGAGGGAAGTGGACTGGATGGCTGCCAGAGGGAACCCCATGAGGTGACAAGGGGGACACAAGACTGCTGGTCAGCGCCGGCCTTATGGAGCCCCCAGGCACTAGCTGGGTCTGGACCTGCTGAATGGTCACCGAGCTCTTGGATTTCGGTGGGTTTTGCAGCCCCTTGGTAGCCCAGGGAGGTGCACAGACAGAAGTGGCCTGCAGAGCACCCAGGCCAGGACCTTGAAGTGACTGCTCAGATAGCCACTCAACTGTGGTGACCCCACACCCTCTCCATCCCCAACTCTGCTTCTGGGCTTTTTGTTTGGGGACCAACTGATTTTTTCTTGGCACTGCTAGCGATTCATTGGGCCTTTGCATTGAGTAACATATCCCTAGCTCCCTTTTACATTTTTTTATTCCAAGACAGAGTGTAGCTAAGTCGCCCTAGCTGGACTCAGATGTGCAATCCTCTTGTCTCCCCTGCCTGGCATGCTGGGGTTTCCGGCCTGGACCACCACATGTAGCTGGGATTAACTCTTACCCTGATAGATATGAGCAGGGAGGGGCCTCGAAAGTGTCCAGAGTAGAGCACAGCCAAAGCTGGGCGTGCCTTGTTCTCTCACTCTCCTGGCCTGTGGTCAAACTGTCACAAACAAAAATATCACCAACTCCATTTGGCTTCTTCTTGGTGGATTTTCGAGGAGTGGAGCAGATGGTTCCCCCAGGGAGAAGGATGCTAAATGTCATTTTCAAGTGCAAAGAAGACTTGCACTGGGCACCGCAAGGGCAGCCAGCATGGAAACATGTGCGCACACTGTGTGGCCAGTGAGGGTGATACTGGCTTTTTTAGATATTTACACAGACTCGGAGAAAGGCTTCCTGCTTCATCCTATTCTCTGGGTGTCACCTCAGTGTTCCAGGTCCTCCAGCCCTGTAGGTGGCATCCTCAAGTGTCTAAGTGGGGGCATGGCCCTTCCATCCGTGAGGGAGTCCATAGACCAGTGTCTCAGGACCTGGATGTTGGGTGGACATAAGTATTCTTCTGGCCTCAGGCTTGACCCTGGACCATACTGACATGACATGACTTTCTAGATTCTAGTGTAGCTGGGATTGCTCCTAGTGGGAGGTGGCTCTGTTTTCCTTGCCTCTGAGAGGCTGGGGACACAAACAGACAATCCCCGACTTCCACGAACAATCCCACACATTCGGCAGGTAAAGGTTTAGAGCTCATGGAAGGGGCTGAGATAGAGTAGGGTGATTTTATTAGGTAGCCATGCTGATAAAAATTAAGAATGGGCAGTTAGTTAGAACTTTGGGCAAAGGATGAACTTCCTCAGGCAGCAAGGGATGCAGTCCACCTCCTACTGCAGACACAACTAAGCTCCTGAATTTCAAG